TCTGAGTGATGAGTCTATGAGGATTCATTGTTCTAGCCTCTCTACTCTTGAATCTGAAATTTTTCGTTAAAAAATAGCTTTCTCCTAACTCAACTTACGGTGGTAATGATTTTGCAATATATGTACGCGAAGTCCCTTAACTTATACAGAGCTGGATGTCAATTATATCTCCACAAAACTGGGAATTAAAAAAAAAATTTTAATACCTTTCTCCAATAACTCCCCTCCCCACCTTAGGAAAGGGGCAGACCTCACCTGAACTGTGGCCTGAGGCCAAATCATAATTATAGAGGGGCCTAGGGGCCCTGGGTGGCTCAGTCGGTGAACCACCCTGCTCTTGGTTTCAGCTCAGGTCATGATCTCACGGTTTCGTGTGAGTTCGAACTCATGTGAGTTCGAGCCCCACATCTGGCTCTGCGCTGCCATTGCAGAGCCTGCCTGGGATTCTCTCTCTCCCTCTCTTTTTCTGCCCCTCCTCTGTTCACTTTGTCTCTCTTTCTCAAAATAAATACACTGTAAATTTAAAAAAAAAAATTATAGAGAGGCCTAAAAATTCTTCTTTGTAATGAGTATTCATTAAACAACCACACGCTAGCTAAGGAGATAGTGTGCCTTGAAAAGATCTCAGCTTCGCAGTCCGAACCTCTTGGGTTTGAACCACTTCTCTGTTGCTCGCTATTTTACTATAGACACGTTTCTAACTCTCTGAGCTTGAATTCAATTCCCCGTCTGTATGGTCTACCCCACAGACATGGTAGAGTCAGTAACATCCTGTTTGCTTTTCAGTCTGCTCATTCAAGGCTCAGGCTTCATCTCTTATTAGCAAGAAGTCTGGTATTTCCTGCCGGAGGACGCTCCATCCTACCTCCCTGCCCTGCCCAAGAATGGGGGGGGGCTTTCTTAGCCCTGAGGGCAGGCCTGGCTTCAACGTCAGAGGCTGTCTCACCTCTCACGTCCACACGGTGTCGCCATTGAGCTTCATCCTGCCCTGGCCCCAGCCACCTAGCCACCCAGCCACCCTGCAGCTGCAGCTTTGAAGTCGGTTGAGCATCCAACTCTTGATTTTGGCACAGGTCTTAATCCCAGGGTCATGGGATTGAGCCCTGCGTCGGGCTCCATGCTGAATGTGGAGCCTGCTTGGGATTCTCTCTGTCTCAGTCCCTCCGCCACTCTCACTCTCTCTCTAAAAAATTTAAAGATAAGTAAATAAATAAAAAACCTGAGACCCTTACCCATCTCTAAGGATTGTTATGAGGATTAAATCAGATATCTTCACTGGTGATAAACTCAAGAAGGCTATGTTTTGCTCACTGCTGTATCTTTTTATTTTTTAAGTGCTATGTCCTTAGTCCTTAAAACAGTGCCTGGCACATAGCAGGGTGCATGCGCGCACACGTGCACACACACACACACACACACACACACATTCACATGCACACAATGATAGAATGAGCCTACAAAGGCTATCATTCCATTAAACTTTGGTTCCCTCGATTCTTTTCCAAACATGTGATAGCCCCTCTTGTGTGTGGAGTACCACGTGGAGCAATTCTAATGTGCACAGGAATCACCAGGGATCTGCAGGTGCCAGTTCGCTGGGGCTGAGATTCTGCATTTGGAACATGCTCCCGAGAGGTGTGGATGCTTCCGTTCTGGAACTCACTTCAAAGCACATTTTTTTTTCTCTCTCTCTTAAAGCAAAGTTGCAACAAAATCCTTCCAGTGTACTTGTAGGAAAGAGCCAGGTAGGGGTAGAATGTTTATATATCTTAATTCATAGGATCTAGGTAAGATGCCATCTATTATGAAACTCACCTGATTTCAGAGAGTTAAAATATATATATATATATATATATATATATATGCTTATCTTAGAACCTATGAAATAAGGCATAAGTGTGCGGTGTCTGGAATCAGACAGACAGGACCCTGCTATTCATTACCTTTGTGACCTTGGGAGAATTACTTAACCTCTATAAAACTGAATTTCCTCACCTCTGATATGGCAATAACCATGAGGGCTGTCTGGCGAATAGTACTGACTCAGCCAGCTTGATATTTTAGCGCTCTGCCCAGTGAAGTAAAAAAAAAACACAAACACCACTTTTTGTAGTTCTTTCAATATTCTCGACTTCTCTGAAATACATTAAGTGGGTATAAAAAACAGAGCTGTGTCGTCTTTACTTTTTGCCCTGTACAGCTCTGAATTTTCTACTGTTTTACAGACACATATTCATGTATTACTTGCATGAAAACAAAAGACAAGAAAATATTTTTTAAAAATAATTAGCATAAGACAGAAAGCCCAGATCATTGCTTGAAGAGTGCATCAGTTTGTATGGAGGGCATCGGGCAAATCTTAGCGGTATCAGTGGCCAGCTTAAAACATTAGGTGAGCACAAAGTGCTCAGTATGTCCCCTGGCAGGGTCCGGACAGCATATGCTCAGTAAATGTTACCCATAAATGTGCTTGCCTCTGGAAGGCAGCCTCCTCTCTCGTTCACCGCTGTTTCCCAGCACCCAGCACCATGTTTAGAACATCATAGAGACTCAGTACACATTTGGCGAAATGTATGAATGGCTGGATGAATGTATGAACCTCAGAGTAACTCTTGCAGGCGGTCAGATGGGAGGCATGAGGATCATGGGAAGCTTGAACCGACAGGTGGCTGCAGGTGCGGAGGGAACCAGTGAGGCCCCTAGCTGAGAAGGGGCAGTGCCTGGAGTTGCTAAAACCAAAGCCTGGTTGCTCTTCAGGCCGGACCCCAGAATGTGTCAGTTACAAGAAAACTTTCAGGTCTTTTAACTCATTTTTGCTCTCAGTATGGACGTTCTGATTGGGATACCATACCATTGGCGTCCATGGCGCTTGCTCAAAGGAAAATGATATACTGAGCGCTTACCTGGCACAGCATCGGGCTCGGTGGGCAGGAAGGAAAGGCCTTTGGCTTGGTCCTGATATCCAGCAGCTGCAAAGGGCTGCTACTGGCTACCCCCCAACACCCGGGTGCTGCTTCAGGAAAATAGAGAAGTCAGCCTGCCCTGGGAAAATGCTCTCCTGGACCCATCCAAGGACTGTGATTAACAACAACAACAAAAAGACCAGGACTCTCCAGTAGTTCCCTTCTCCTTCCTTTTCAGTTCTGAGTGGGACTTTACAGATTCCAAGGATGTTCTTGGAGAAGGGGAAAGCAGCAGGGGGATGGGGAGCTGCCTAATGTATTCCAAATCTATGATGCTACTGAGTAAATTTGTTTGACAGATTGTCAGACAATTGTGGCACGAAAAGTTTCACAAACAAAAGTGTCCAGGGGCGCCTGGGTGGCTTGGTCGGTTAAGCGTCCGACTTCGGCTCAGGTCATGATCTCACGCTCCGTGAGTTCGAGCCCCTCGTCGGGCTCTGTGCTGACAGCTCAGAGCCTGGAGCCTGTTTCAGATTCTGTGTCTCCCTCTCTCTCTGCCCCTCCCCTGTTCATGCTCTCTCTCTGTCTCAAAAATAAATAAACGTTAAAAAAATTTTTTTAAAAAACAAGTCTCCAGCCAAGCTAAATGTCCCCTTCACATTTTCTCACTTTGCAGGTGACCTTGTACAAGAGCTCCGATGTGGAAGATTTTGGGTTCAGCGTAGCAGATGGCTTGCTGGAGAAAGGAGTATATGTCAAAAACATTCGCCCAGCTGGGCCAGGAGACCTGGGTGGCTTAAAACCCTATGACCGACTCTTACAGGTAAGACCTCAGGTGAAATTCTAATTTAACTTTCCAAAGTCTTACCTGACCGATGCCTACCCATCTTTCTTTGCCTCAACACTAGATTAGGGCCCCTTCTATATGGGATAAAAGCCTTTCCCTTTGGTAAAATTTCCCAGTCATTGAAATTGGTTCCCTGTGTATATTCCCCAGCAGCTTAGAGACAGCTTGAGAACGGGGCTGGTACATTACTCTCCCATCTCGCGGTATACAATACACGATATCTCAGCATCTCACACAATCGTCTGAAAGCAAGAAGCCAAACCTTGTTTGCCGAGTGGAATACCATCATGGTCACGTATAGTTTCAGTGAGCTAAGCAAATTCCTGACTTGACGTACACTTTTTAGGAATGGCATTTTGTAGGAAGAAGAGAGGGTTGACATCAGTCTTGAAAGTGTATCTAACTGGAATGAGTCTGGCACCAAAGAGCTGACTTTCAAAGCATGAGGCTCTACGGATCGGTTGGCCTTCAGACACGCGTTCATCAGAGCAAGCTGTCGTTGATCAGTTACGGTTTTATTTTTATTTATTTTTTTTTAATTTTTTTTTTCAACGTTGATTTATTTTGGGGACAGAGAGAGACAGAGCATGAACGGGGGAGGGGCAGAGAGAGAGAGGGAGACACAGAATCGGAAACAGGCTCCAGGCTCCGAGCCGTCCGCCCAGAGCCCGACGCGGGGCTCGAACTCCCGGACCGCGAGATCGTGACCTGGCTGAAGCCGGACGCTTCACCGACTGCGCCACCCAGGCGCCCCGATCAGTTACGGTTTTAAAACCAGTTCTGGCGATCGTCTTTACCACAGCAATGGAACAATTAGTCTTATGCTGGCAGGATGGGACACTTTTATTTTCCACAGATACTCTAATAGTTGTTGAAAGAATAACTGTGGTTACTTAACTTCTATGTGGCTCTTCCTAATCTATAAATTGGGGCTGCACTGTATCTGCTTTCATGGAAGTTGAGGCTACAAAGGTAGACTGGGTTCAGACTGTGAAGGGCCTTGAACGCCACGGTAAATCTCTTGGACTTTGCTCTCAAGCATATTAATTTCTTAAGCAGAAAAGTGACATAATTTGTTAATTTCGAAAGACCATAGAATAATACCATAGGTGGATTGGTGTAGAATGGGGAAGGGGAAGACCACAGGGAGGGAGACGAGGTAGGTGTGGGTAAGACACCTCTATCTGACCTGAGACCTTAATGCCTTCAGTACTTCCGGGTAGAGCAGTCTGGGAGGCAACTGGCATTTTGGACTTGTTGCTCCGAAGAGACGTCAGAGCCAGATTTAGGAGATAGGTTACTGAAGGCATGGGTTTGGATGAAGTGACCTCTGGTGGGCTTATAGTAAGAAAGAGAACAGAATCAAGGAGAGAATCATAAGAAAAACGAATGTAAAGGACAGGAAGAAATAAAGGTAGGCGAGAACTGAAATCAAGTTAAAATGGATCCAAACAAACTGATGTCACAGAGAGCCAAGGAAGGAGAGTTTTAGGGATGTGTGGCTGTCAGGCACAGCCAGTGCTAAAGGCCAAAGCAGATGAGACCCGTATCTGTATCTGTATCTGTATTAGACAGTTGGGGTCATTTGTACACTGTGTCGGGTTCCAGATGTGGCAAGATTGAGAATGGAAAGTCAGAGTGGAAGCAGGCACGTGTAGATGGTTTAGAAACCCTTGCCGGTGAAGAACAAGGAGAAATAAAAGAAGATGAGTACATGCAAAAGCTGAGGAGGGGATGGGCTCACTTCTGAGAGGTAGTTCAACATCACGGCCAAGAGCACAGCTCTGGGGTCAGCCAGACTGCCTGGGATCACATCCTATCTGGACCGCTTACCAAGTGCTGATCTAAGGCAAATCTCTGAACCACTCTGTGCCTCACCTACCTCATCTGGAAATTATAGGGATAATGTTCGGCACTAGGACCACATGCCATGTGCGAGGCAATCTGCTCAGCATGGGGATGTTGGGACGTGTCCCTGTTCCAAGCTCTCAAGGGCCTTACAATTTAATAGCAACGAATAAGTCAGCCAATGACCGCCTTCTAGGGTGGTCAGAGAAAGGACAGACCTCTCTGCGTAGAGGGCTCACTTAAGCATCAGCAGACACCTGTTAACATGGCAAGTATTACTCTGGGTTTTGAGAATTATCTCAGACTGTGACAATAATTCAAAGTGGCCCTTCTTGATTTTTCAGGTTAATCACGTCCGAACGAGAGACTTTGACTGCTGCCTTGTTGTGCCCCTCATAGCAGAATCTGGTAATAAGCTGGACTTGGTTATTAGTAGAAACCCACTGGCCTCACAGAAGTCTATAGAACAGACTCTACCAGGAGGAGAATGGAGTGAACAGAACAGCGCTTTTTTCCAACAGCCTAGTCATGGTAGTAATTTGGAGATACGAGAACCCACTAACACATTATAGCAACGCTTTTTATAAAGCAGGACAAAAGACAATATCTACATGGTGCTAAAATATCCCTTTCAGATTTCTGTGGCATTTAAAGCACAGATAATCACGTGGCATTAACTGCAAGCACAGGGGTCTTTTAAATCTCTCTCATGGCTCATGTTCACTTCCCCTTTCAAGCGGAAGAGGTTTCTTTCTTGGTGACCACTATGGTATATGGCAGCCAATTCCCTGCCAAGCCCAATGGTAGAGAAAAAGAAAAGTAGACAGGCTACCCCTCCCCCCAGTTAACATCAGAGGAAATTTTTTACAAGTTCATCTTCCAATCACTTTTTGAAAAGAGAAATGTCTGTTTGAAACTGTTCTCTATGACAATTTCCTTAATTCACTTTGAAATCAGTTTCTTACCGTGAAGTCGTTAACGTTAAGAACTTGACCAAGTCTTTCCACAAAGCTGGCTCTCCTAGGGGAACCCGAGTTTGAGATGTGGCCGGGGACTGCTGCCATGGGAGGGGTACAGGTGTAACATTAAAGTTCTCTTAAAACGTTTCAGCGATGATGCACGTAGGAGACCATAATAGGTGGTGGTAAATGTTTTGCCCCAATATAGGAATGATCTTAACTAAGATGTATGCTATTCCCTATGCAACAAACTAACAAACAGGATATGTCTTGTGACCTGTTTTTTTGTTTTTGTTTTTTTTAAGGACACATTTTTAATAGCTGCAAATCTCTGATAATGAATTAGAGTGCTTAGGAACACTGAGAATGAGTTATCTTATTTTTAAAATTCAGGACTAAGAACTTAAGAGAGAATGAAGAGTCTATTAAAATGAGGTTTATCTTAATGATAGGCAAATCAAACTCATCTTGCTTGACATGTTTGGAAAACTGTTTATAGAGGGGTGTACAGGACACGTACTTTAAAATGACACTGGACTATCTTTTGTTCTGAGCCATGCCACTTCTCGAAATTGTAAATACATCTTTCACAAAATGCATTGCCAATTATTACCATCCCTCAAAGCAATAAATTGTGACAGTTGCTTTTAATGTTTGTCAGCAACTGTTCTCATTTGTTCAGATATTTTGAATAGTTACACTAATAACTGTTATTTGGTGAATATTGAAAAAAAGATAGATCTGTATATGGATTGTAGAATCTCCATATTGAAATGATTATTTTGCAAACATCTTCATTTTGGTCAATAATTCAAACGACTGCTTAGGTAAAGCATTTGAACACTGTGTCCTTTGTTTAAGGAAAAAGTTCACCTTTCTTTTTGTGCAAAGAAATATATTATTTCAATCATATGTCACAACCCGCCAGGGCAAGAAAGTATAAAGCAGAATCATGTTAAGAAAAAAAAAGAAAAAAAAAGATCATGAGTCACTTAAATATGTATTTTTATTTGTAACAAACAAGTATTAAGCTGTAAAGTATTTTTGTACAAATTTAATACTTTAATAGCATGGTATTTATCGTCTATGTATGGTTTTGGGGACTTCAAAATTGTTGCAAATATTTGTATGGAAAAAAAAACCCTCTACCAAATGGAATAAAAAGTGATTTTGAAAAGCCAAAATTATGACATACAGTTTTTTGGTGCTTTGAATATATTTTATTCTAGATGACCCCTATACAATGCTTATTGCTGTAGAATTTTCTTTTTTTTAATGGGTATCTTAGAGAGAGAGAGAGAGAGAGATGGAGTGTGAGTGGGAGAGGGGCACAGGCAGAGGGAGACACAGAATCTGAAGCAGGCTCCAGGCTCTGAGCTGTCAGCATGGAGCCCAACGTGGGGCTCAAACTCACGGAGTGTGAGATCATTACCTGAGCTGAAGTCAGACACTCAACCAACTGAGCCACCTAGGCACCCCTAGAATTTTCTAAAGGGGAAAGGTTTTGCCTTAAGCTTGAAAAGCAGCATTGGAAGAATGGGAAGAATATGAGTTTTAAAATCAGATCTGGGTTTGAATTCTAGCTCTGGTACTCACTGGTGGTACAAAATTTAGTTAGAGTCAGTTTCCCTACCTGTGATACTGAAGGTCATAACTGTACTCCAGGACCATTGTAAGGACAAGATGTAAAACATACAAGGTTTAAGTCCTAAAACAGCCTGCAGACAGAAATACCCCAGACTAATTATACAATTATTTTAGGTGACAAAGACAGATTTTAACTCAACAATCATAATAACATCTGCCCTCAGAGAACAGTACATGTGTTCATGAAATACATTATATATACTAAGATGTACCAATTTTAATGCATGCTATGCTACTTAAAACTTACACTTATAGTCCCAACATTTTCATTTTTGCAGACTGTCTTGCAGGCCTTGTAAATTCACAGGAACAAGGTAAGGATGTCCATTCTCACCATTTGTATCTAACAATATATTAAAGGCTCTAGCCAGAGCATTAAGACAAGAAAATGAAATAAAAGGCATCCAGATTGGAAAGAAAGAAAACGATCTCTATTTGCAGATGATATAACCTCATATATAGAAAATCCTCACTAAGGAATCCACTAAAAACCTATTAAAACTAATAAATGAGGTTAGCAAGGTTGCAAGATACAAAATCAGTTGTATTTCTAAACAGCAGCAATGAACAACATCAACATCATGGGAAATTTTTTTTTTTTTTGCAAACAGTAGTTCTAAGAAGGGACTTGCATGTCAAATGTATAAAGAACTCATACCTCAATAAAAAGAAAAATAACAATTTATAAATGGGTAGGGGCACCCGGTGGTTTAGTCGGTTAAGTGTCTGACTTTGGCTCAGGCCATGGTCTCACGGTTCGTTGAGTTCAAGCCCCGAATCAGGCTGTCTGCTGTGAGCACAGAGCCTGCTTCGATTCCTCTGTCCCTCTCTCTCTCTCTCCCTGCCCCTCCCTCATGTGTGCTCTCTCTCTCTCTCTCTCAAAAATAATAAAATAAAATAAAATTATTTTAAAAAATGGGTAAAAGATCTGAATAGACATTTCTCTGAAGAGGTCATACAAATGACCAGTAAGCACATGAGAAGGTAATTAACATCATTCGCCGTAAGGGAAATGCAAATGAAAACCACACTTCACACCTACTAAAATGGCTATAATCAGTAAGTCAGATAATAGCAAGTACTAGAACGTAGAGAAACGGGAACACTCACACACTCCCAAGTATAAATACAAAATGGTACGGCTGCTTTAGAAAACAATCTGGCAGTTCCTCAAATGGCTAGAGTTAGCATAGGACCCAACAATTCCACGCCTAGAAATATAATGAAAAGAAATCAGGGGCACCTGGGTGGCTCAGTCGGCTAAGCCTCCAACACTTGATTTCAGCTTGGGTCGTAATCTCACGGTTTGTGAGATCAAGCCTCAAGTCGGGTTCCTGGGCTGACAGCACAGAGCCTGCTTGGGATTCTCTCTCTCCCTCTCTCTCTGCCCCTCCCCCACCCGCCCCAAAAATAAGTGAAAAGAAACTTAAAAAAAAGGAAATTAAAATCCATGTCCACACAAAGCTTGTAGGCCAACGCATGCTATAATAGCCAAAAAGTGGAAACAACGCAAACGTCCATCAACTGATGAACCGAGAAATTCAATGTGCTATACCCGTACGACAGAATACTATTTGGTAATAAAAGGAGATAGAGGCCTTTTGTCTTACTGCACTACTGGAAGCAAGATAGGTCACCTGCAGCTCTACTGGAACCACCTGCAAAAATTCAGCCAGGGTTCCTGGTTTTGTCTCATCGGCTCAAACCAACATGGTGTGATCCAGAAATACAGCCTCCATATATGCTGCCATATTTTCCATCAATACACCAAGGATATGAGGCTTCATCTGGTTAGACTGAGTGATTCCCCTTGAATGGACTATCCAAGACATCCACCCAATAAAAGGAACAATGCTAGCTCTTGGTACATATTTATTAATCTTTCATAAAAAGACAGATATGAGAGGCGCCACAACATGAAGTCTGAAATCATTATGCTAAGTTAAAGAAGTCAGTAACAAGGAACCACATATTGTAGGATTCCATTTGTAGGAAATGTCTGCAACAGGCAAATCAATGGAGACAAAGTAAATTAGTGTTGCCCAGAGCTGGAGGGGACGAGGGGGTCAGAACTAAGAGGCACATCTTGGAGAAGATGATGCAAGTGTTCAAAAATCCATTGTGGTGTCAGTGGCACAACTCCATGAATGTACTAAAAGCCACTCCGTTTTACCCCTTTAACGGGTGAATTGTATGTGAATTATAGCTCATTAAGGTTCTTTTTCAAATATTGGAATCACGGGTACATTTTTTTTTTCTTAACCTTTTCTTTCACCGGTTAACAATAAATAGAGCTCTAAAAAAAATAAAATCACTGAGAGAAAATAATGTTCCAGCGGTAGAATACCTTCAAAACAATGTATTCATAAAAGAAATAACAGTCATGTGCCATGATGGAGGGGTTAGCTAATGCTACAGTAGAAATCATATTGACTATATAAATGTATCAAATCAACACACTGTACACTTTCAAGGTACACAGTGGTAACATATGTCAATGGTATCTCAAATACAGAAAAAGAAATATACTCCCAAATCAGAAGGAATTTCCAGGTGAAATGGGTCCGTCCGGCCGTGATGGAGGAAGGAGCCTTGCCAGATGAACACTTGGCAGAAGACCCAACAACCTGAAAAATGTGTGTCAGTTAATAATACGAGAGGCGTAATTACAGTCTGTCGTGACCATGGCTTCATACCATGGGCAAAGACCACCCAACATGATCATGGAAGTTAATAAAGGCATTATTGCAAAAATAAAACACTTTTTAAAGTACAAACTTTAAAAAATATATACATATATGCTATCAGTTCTCATGATGACAGATGTTGAACTCATTATGGTTTTCTATGATCAAACGGATTTAAAATATCTGCTAACACAAACACCTTAAAATAAAACCCCAGTTACACATATCCTGTTTTGTACCTTAATATTTTCAAGCTACGATGTTCATTTGTGTTAAATAGAAAAAAGACAGGGAGAGAGAGAGAGAGAGAGAAATTACTTTCCGCAATCTGAAATCAAATTAAGTTTCTTGATTACTTGTGGGTATGAAAAGTTGCCGGGGGGTTAAACTATTCAGTCTCAAATTCCGAAGTTTCAAAGACACTTGCGGAGATGATTCTTCCACCTGTTAGGACAGCAATAAAAATGAGATTAATTTCATGAAAATACACACAATTTGCCCTATGTACTTCTGTTTCCTCTACTTTCGCGGGAGACATAATATCTTCCCCACCCCTTGGAAGACCTGAGGAGACCACAGCAATCAGCTGTCGGCAACTTGTGGGATCATACCTGCTTTGGCTCACTGTGGTATCCTTAGCACCCAGCTCTGGGACGGGCATGAAGAAGTGACTATTTGTGAATGAGGGTATATATACATATTATATACATATATATATATATACACACTATATATATATATACACATAATATATATACACACCATATATATATATATATTTACATAATATATATATATATATGCACACTATACACACACACACACACACATACTTTCTACAGGTATGGCCACTACATAATTTGGCAGCTCAGTTCAAAATGAAAATGTGGGCCCTTTGTTCAAAGTTAAGAACTTCAAGATGGTTAAGTGCAGAACATTAAAGCAAGTATGGGGTAGTTTTAAGCACAAAGCCCTGAATGACTGACTACTGCTCAGCTGCACATCCATGACACCGGCCTTGGGTGTGATAAGACGAAACAATGCAATGCCAGTACTCTTGGTACTGTTCGTGACTCCCAAGCACAAGGCAAGGGATCAGTACGGTCATGAGAAAGTTTCACCGCCATAGGGAAATGAGAAAAATAAGCACAATCAATCTTTCACAATGCTAAACCTATTCAATTTAGAGGACTATACTGGTTAACTTTATGTATCAACCTGACGATGCCATGGTACCCAGATATTTGGTCAAATATTATTCTAGATGTTTCTGTGGACCTATTTTTACATGAGGTTAACATTTAAAAAAATTTTTTTAAGGTTTATTTATTTTTCAGAGACAAAGACAGGGCGTGGGGGGGGGGGGGGGGGGCAGAGAGAGGGGAAGACACAGAATCGGAAGCAGGCTCCAGGCTCTGAGCCGTCAGCCCAGAGCCTGACGTGGGGCTCAAACTCACGGACCGTGAGATCATGACCTGAGCTGAAGTCGGATGCTTAACCGATTGAGCCACCCAGGTGCCCCAACATTTAAATCAGTAGACTATGAATAAAGCAGATTACCCTCCATAATGTAGGTGGGGCTCATTTGATCACCTGAAGGCCTTAAGAGAAAACTTAAAAGAAAAAAGATTGCCTCCCAGAAAGAAAGAATTCTGCCTGCCCTTGGATGCAAACTGCAATGTCAATTCTTCTTTGGGTCTCCAGTCTTCAGGACTACCCTGGAGATTTTGGACTTGTCAGCCTCTACGATCATGAGCCAATTCCTTAAATAAATCTAGACAGATAGATGACAGGTAGGTAGGTAAATAGGGACATAGACACAGGCTACTGGTTCAGGAGAACCCTGACTA